GACTAGCCTATAATAACTGGTACATAATGCCATGAAAAAAACATTAAATCCTGCCTCGCTAGGCTCCATCTATACGTGCGTAACGCCCACCCAACACAACACACATACAGTACATACCCTGCAGTGTTGCAGATAGAGCCAGCCTAGGCCTAAGCCCTACATGTATTTCGGGATCGATATAAAATAAACTTCATTTTTCGGAAGATTGCTTAGTACCAAAACCTATTAACTATAATTTTTTAGTATTTTTATTAAAGAACTGAAGCTTACTTGAAAGAAAAAGTATTTTTTATGCACCGATTCTGTTCCAAATATTCGCAGCAAAAACTTGGGGCCCCATCCATTCCCAAGTGATTTCGTTAATTTGTTGAAATTTATTTACTCAACTGACAGCCATCTCATTGAATGAGGTCGGCACTGGATACAAAAGATCGTAACATGGAGGATCTAGGCCTGCCTTGCCCTGGAGTTGTTATTTAATAATTGAAATTTTGTCAAATTAAGACACTAACTTTTCACCTGTCTCTTATACACATCTTTATGGCTGAGCGAGCGCCATAGTATATTGGCTTAAGATAAGAAATTTTGTTTCATTGCTCTATGACATCGTGGAAATCACATTTTTCGTGAAATTTTCGGGATATTTAAAAAAATCGGGAGATAAATAATAAAAATCGGGAGGGCGGGAGACGGCCTCAAAAATCGGGAGAACCCGCGAATTTTCGAGAGACTTGGGATCTCTGCAACACTCAAACAACTTCACTCATTACTAGAGGTAAGGATTCATCCACTCGCACACTCAAACAACTTCACTCGTTACTAGAGGTAAGGATTCATCCACTCGACACTCAAACAACTTCACTCATTACTAGAGGTAAGGATTCATACACTCCACACTCAAACAACTTCACCCATTACTAGATGTAAGGATTCATCCACTTCAATCTCCAACAACTTCACTCATTACTAGAGGTAACGATTCATACACTCCACAGTCAAACAACTTCACCCGTTACTAGATGTAAGGATTCATCCACTTCTAACTCAACAACATCACTCATTACTAGAGGTAAGGATTCATACACTCCACACTCAAACAACTTCACCTATTACTAGATGTAAGGTTTCATCCACTTCTAACTTAAACAACTTCACTCATTATGAGAGGTAAGGATTCATCCACTTCTAACTCAACAACTTCACTCATTACTAGAGGTAAGGATTCATACACTCCACACTCAAACAACTTCACCTATTACTAGATGTAAGGTTTCATCCACTTCTAACTTAAACAACTTTACTCATTACGAGAGGTAAGGATTCATCCACTCCACACTCAAACAACTTCACCCATTACTAGATGTAATGATTTATCCACTTCAAACTCAAACAACTTCACTCATTAAAAGAGGTAAGGATTAATCTACTCCACAATCGAACAATTTCACTCATTACTAGATGTAATGATTCATCCACTCCACACGCAAACAACTTCACTCATTACTAGCGGTAACTCCACACTCAAACAACTTCACCCATTACTAGAGGTAAGGATCCATCCACTCAACACTCAAACAGATTCACCTATTTCAAGAGGTAAGGATTCATCCACTCCACACTCAAACAACCCATTACTAGAGGTAAGGATTCATCCACTCCACACTCAGACAACTTCAACCATTACAAGAGGTAAGGATTCATCCACTCCACACTCAAACAACCCATTACTAGTGGTAAGGATTTATCCACTCCACACTCAAGCAACTTTACATATTACTAGAGGTAAAGAGTAATCCATTCTACACTCAAACAACTTTTAAAAGACTATCTTCTTCTTCTCTTCAGTTACCAATTGTAAAATCCTCCTGCACAGACAATGTGATGGACACATTTGAGCAGAGTCATGTGAGTGAGGTTGAGAAGACCAAGCAGTTCAGCTTTGTCAGTAGCAGCTTCGACAAGAAAGATCAAAAAGAGAAGAAATCTGTTAAAAGAGTCCCAAGTACAGACCAGATGGTTAGTTTAGTCTATCATACAGTATCTATGTTTGAAATTGTTCTCACTCAAAAATCTATCCATGGTCATGCCCCATTTTATCTTTATTCCCTTATTTACAAACATGTTCCTTCCCGTTCTACTTGTTCTAAGTCCCTTCATGTTATTAATCCATGAGTCCAGCACATTTCTTCCTGGTGAAAGCTCTTTTTCCTTTTCTCTGCCCCAAGAATTATGTATCATTTCTGATCCTGAATTACTGTATTCAAATCCAATCTTAAATATTTCCTCTTCAAATAGCTCAACATCTCTCTAACATCTTCCAGTGCCGGTGAGAAGACACAGTTTTTTTGCTTGAATATGCACTTTAAAAATGTGTTGTAGTATTATGTGTCATGCTTAGGCTTCAGCATGATTTACAGCAATGCTTCTCAAACATTTTTATGTGGCAACCCACTTTGAGACTTCCTATTCTTTTGGTACCCAGGGCATATATTGTCATACAACAATGCTATTATCATGTATGTGTTGATTACTTAGGCCTACTTTACTTGCCAGAACCTCAATAAAATCATAATACTATGCTACTTTTTTCTGACAACTTGCCTTGGTTTTTTTTTTTTTTTTTTAATAGAAATCTATGCTTGTATGATTTTATAGCCCTCCTAATTTATCAAATATTATATGCTGTTGTATTTCTACAGTCAACCTCTGGTAAATTGAATACAAAGTAACAGTCAACCTCTGGTAAATTGAATACAAAGTAGCTGTGATAAATCATTCCTTTTTTCATTCACTCAGCAATGCACATGAGGCATTTGTTTAACAAATGCCTCATGTGAAAAAGATAATTGTGTTTGGAATGTTCCATTTTAATGGTATGGAGAATATTTACTACACTTTTTTGAAATGTTTAATGTAAAAGAATAAAACAACGACAATTTTTTCGACTTGTGCACTGTCAACTTGGGTGAGGCTAATAATTTTAAAATAAAGCTTGTATGTCCGCACCTACTCCCAAAAAGGCTCAAACGAACTCCAAAAACAAAGAAGCAACACATCATTTTTAAACAAAACTTTGATTTATTAACTCATCATGAGCTATGTTCCTGCGTAATTATAATGATCTTATCAATCCTTGCAGAGACAGTACACCATGCATTTCTAGGTTTCATCTTCATAGCTATGTCTGGGTGTATCTCATGTGTTGAGTTTTTTGTAGGACAGCCATGTAGAAGTGTTTTCCACTAATTTTCAAAATGCACCTGAATAAAGTCTGTCTTTGTTTAAGTCAGAAGCAGTCTTGTGACCCTCAGAAATAGTTTGAGAAGCATTGACATTGATTAAACTTTGACGGATATTTTCAATGACTGACTTTTGGTACCTTATTTGGTATATGGAAACATCTCCATCAGAGCTACATAAAGAATATAAATAGTTATTTTTATATTAAATTATTTTTATTTTATTACTTTGTTGAATAGCTATCCCAGGCGAGTTCAGAGGTCAAGCCAAAACAAACACAGGCCAATAAAGAACAGGTGATGACACGATACAGTAATGAACAGCTTCATCTGGTGACGGCCAGCTTCAAGGCAGCGGAGGATTTGGACATGACGGTAATGCAGGGTGAAATAATCGGCGTCATCAAGCAACAGGATCCTAGGGGAGGGCAGGAGAGGTGGTACATTGATAATGGAGGTAAGTGTAATCAAATTAGTGTGGTGGAGGCCTTCGGTGTGAAAGCAAGGCCTCAGAGCCTTTAATTTTTGAGGATATAAGTAATGGAAGCTTATGTGGAGGACAGTAGAGGGGGTACATTGATATGGAGGTAAGCATTAGTCTAATAATATTATTATGGTAATGCCTATGGTGTTGAAATAAGGCCTTATGTAGCTTCTAATTTTTGGAGGTTAAAAAATAAATCACTGTAAAAAAAAAAAGTAATAAAGTAAAAAGTAAATAACTGAGAATAAAGTGGTATAAAAGCAGTGCATGAAGGGTTTTTGGGGGCACACTGTAAACATCAAAGTTAGGGTGCAAATTATTAGTTTTTTAACACTGTCAGTGTATAACATTGAGAGCTGAACAATTGTATTCAAATTGTCCTGTATTCAGTTATTCCAATCAGTGTGAAATGGTTCATCATTGTGTTGTGAGCAAATGAGGGTCTGTAGATACAACCCAGCCAATACAACAATTTATAATCTTTCGACCACATTTTAAGATTTCAAGACTAGAACATGTTTAACATGTTGATTAAACATATTGCAGTTACAATGCCAAAGGTATGATCCAGCCACTTAAAAAGTGGTGAGCTAGCAATACCGAATGTACATGCTCACAAGACACAATACAAAAGTCTCTTCTCTTTCTCCTATAAAAAACCATTCGCTTTCTTTGAGCAAACAAAATTGTGGCATTGTGAAAAAATAAGCAATAGAATTGTTTCATTAATTTGAGTTTGTAAAATGTTGTAACAACATCAGATATATTGACTTGCAACACCCACGGAGGAATCCTCCATGCATTACCTAAACACATTTTAATTTATTTGAGCAAACAATACCGTGGCATTGAAGCATTGGGATAAACAGTAGAATTGTTTATTCGAGTTGTGAAATGTTGTCACAACGACGCATTGAATTGTCACTGCCTAACATGTTTTATTTTATATAAGCAAAGCCTCTTCCTTAAGCTAAACCTGTTTGACCATTGACTCTGAGGAGCTTATCTGCCTTTTGATGCTTGTAAAATGATCAACATTTTTGCCATTGTATTTTAATAATAATCTTTTTAAATATTTTGTTTTCAGCTTCCACTGGATTTATACCACCGACAATTTTAACACCTTACAAGTTGCCATCGTATGAGCAAGCGTTGTCTATTCAGGTAAATTGTTGCAATCTTAATTAAATTGTTAAGCTCTGTCACTATCAAATTTTATGCTACAAATTTGTGTGATGTGCCATATATGTGCATAAGGATGTAATATTACCACCAAATATGGGTATATTGCATTTATTATACTCTATCGAGCCCTGTCCGGCCTATCAAATTTGATTTAAGAAAAGCATGTGACATACCTAAATGTTGTCATAACGAAATCACATCATGACCATATATAGGCACATCATGACCTTATATAGGCACATCATGACCTTATATTGCCATACAACAGTTTTGTTTTTTTTTCAAAGAAAATTTCATAGTGACAACTTTGTGGGATGTCCCACTCTATATGGGCATCATGATGTTATATTACAACCAAATATGGGCATATGTCATTCATTTGTCACATAAAATTAATATAGTGGACAAAGATTTATATAATTAATAAAAATTTATAGTTAGTAATATACATTTGACTCAATCAAAATCATGTACTGGATGACTGGTAATTAAATTAATTGGGTGAATGTTAGGCTTGGTGGGAATGCAGGGTAATATAAATCCAGTTCTTTCCAATATACATTTATTTCTTGGCACGGCACAGAGTAAAAAATAATTATTTCCTTTTTTACTTTTATTTTGCAGTATTATGCAGCGTGGGAATTTACTGCCACAGGACCGCATGAGGTGAGCCTAGAGGAAGGCTGTTTAGTTAGTGTCATCTCTTCCAAAGATATGGAGGGTAATTCAGAATGGTGGCTAGTGGAAAGTGATGGACAACAAGGCTATGTACCCGCTGCATATATAAAACCATTACAATAATACCAGATAGTCCAACAGCGGTGTACCTATTGTGTATTATTCAAGCCAGTGTGTATATTAGCTAAGGAAGATATGGATGTGTACTTACTGTATACAGTATTAGGCCAATAATAATACTAGCTAAGGCCAACAAGACTTGGGAATCTGCTGCATGTGTGTGAATATATGTTGCCAGGGTTTAGAATACTTGTCTTACAGGTTGTTAGATAGGCAAGGGACATCAAAGTGGAAATCAGAAAAAATGCCATTATGAAAAAATGCCAGTAGGAATGAACGCCACAATGTAAAAAAATCATTTCACGATAGGGTATTGTTCAAGGCGCAGAGGGGAACTACCAAACCTAATATTAATATTAAGCAAGTTAACTCAAAATTTCCATTTATGAGGGATGTTAAAATATATTAATGGAACAGGTTAGATGAAGAAGACAGAGACATATGTATATTATTAGTAATTTATATTTATTTGTGTCATTATTATTTTATCTTTTTTCTTTTTTGTGATCTGTCATGTCTCGGTTAAGGACCACAATGCAAATAAGCACTTCTGAGCTCTTTTGTGTTATCCTTCGTGAAATTTTGTTAATGTGTTATTTGGAGAATCACTGAATAATTTGAAATGAAATGAAATAATTAGGTTGTATTTTAAGTAACTACAGCATAATTTACTTATTTATAAAGCTGTATTTATTTTAGTAAATGACTATATGATGTTAAATACTGTACAACCTTATAAATCAGGAAAGTTTTATTTAATTATATAAATAAATTAAGTAATGATACTTAAATTGGTACAACCTAATAAGATCTGTAATTAGGCTGTATCATTTAGTTTTGCACAAAACAATACCCCTATTATGAAATGCTTTGTTCCATTGTGTGGTGTATTCCTACTGGCATTTTTCTACATCTATCCATCTATATTCCCACCTATATGCTATTCTTTTGTATGTTTTGTACACAATTGAGACGTAGCAATCTAAAAATACATTTGAGATGATTGTTGTGTTTTATTGCTATTGGGGAATATTTCTATTCGTCTTTTTATGCCGTATGGCAGCAGAAAGCTAACTTAATATTTACCAGAAATTCAGTTACCATGGAAATTTAGTAGAAATACAATAGCAACATCTTCAGCATCAGTTTTAGAAACTCTTTGCTATCAGGTTTGAGAGCGTTTTTGATGCCACATTGACAATACAATAATAGGTTAATGAACAATATTACAAATTTTAAAAGCAACATACAAAGCTATTAGACCTAAAGTACATATTTTTATATAAAGATTATTTGCAATTGTCAAATAATTATTGGTGTCTGTCAGTCTCACTGAAAATTATGATTCAAGAGACCGGTTGAAATGGGTATGAGCCCAGGATTGATGGTGATAATAACCATGGATTTACAGTGTATTAAAATACATTGAATAGTAGTATGAAGCAAAGGTTGAATAGGAGTACTTGTGTTAGAATGCAGCTTTGTAAGATATGAACTCTGGTACTATATAGGAGTTAAACCATTTGATTACTATTTCCAATTGAAAGCAGCAGGCTGTGTCCACCTAGATGAATAAGAGTCTGACCCCTGGATTGACTTTGCAACATTGAGATTGATTGGAGTGTAAACCCTGCATTGGGTGTCACCCCTTATCAATAGGTGTGTCAACCCGGGAATTGTTGGTTATTGATGGTTATCTAATAAAATCATTAGTATACTGTATGTCAAAAATGTATATATTATATACAATAATAATCGTTCTTTGACAGAGGTGACATTGAATTATTGTAAAGAATGTTCATTCATTAGATGTAATTAATGTTAATATCTGAAACTTTGTCTACACAGTTTCTATGTGACAATTGACTTGCCCATATATGGATGCAGTGGGACATCGTTATGCCCATATATGGATGCATTGTGACATCGTTATGCCCATATATGGTGAAAACATAGCTGATATTGTGGGCAGGGCAATCTTTTTCATATTCTTTCAATTTTAAAGTGCAGTACCTACAACGTAGGATAGTAACCAAAACACATAATTAAAATAAGTGTGTTATACAATATCTGAAGCTTGCCATACATATGCCCAGTCCAAATATGGTCATATGACATCATATCATGACCATATGTAGGCACATCATGAGTTTATATGGGCATACAATAGTTTTTTGTCAGAAAATTGTGATAATGTTGACAGATCTTTATCATATTTTGTCTGTCAGGCAATGCTTAATCAAACCTTGATAAAGTAGAATATTGTTCACCTTCCAACACATAATTTGTTTGTTCAGATAAGCCTGAAGCTGACATTGACTATCCTATCAGATGTGCTTTCATCAAACAATATCTTGCTTTTTAAACACACACAAAACTATAGAATTATCCCTGTTTGTTAGTGAATTGGATTTACGGGGACTGAATTTACTAGTGATATCATGTACACAGAGTGGCCAAATTCATATTAATTCATATATGGGGTAGAGTCCAACATTTCTGTAAGATTGGCTTATGCTTTTCTAAGCTGAAATTTTATGTAAAATTAGATGAAAAGTGTGAAAGGTGTACGTAGACTGAAAGTAATGGATGTGTTGTGAAAAGTATATAATGATATTGTTTACTTACATAATTAGGTATTGTCAAATGTTAAGGTATGTTTTAACATCACAGATATCTGTGAAAGATCCATTCTGATATGTAAAAACTCTGTCCAGATTACTAAATTTTCTTTGACAAAAAAACTGTTGTATGCCCATATTTAGTCATGATGTGCCTATATATGGTCATGATGTGATGTCATCATGACCATATTTAGGTATATTTGTCAAATTTATGAAATTTGATAGTCTCGACAAGACATAAGACAATTAAAGATGTCATTGGCTAAAAAATTAAAAGATGAAGTTATTAACTTACAATTAAGCTTATAATGTGAAAAAAGTTCCTGTCAATTAACACAGTTAAATAGTACCTTTTTATTGAACTTAGGCTGGTAATAAATTTTATGTTGAAAATGTCTGTAAAACAGTGAAAAATAGTGTTTTTTGTTATCTGTTTCTGGTTTGAAGTTAATAACCTATTTGATTCTTTTAAATGAGCTATTCAAAAAAAATTAATTGTTTGAGGTATTTTCCGATTTTCTGTTTTTTTTTGTTTGTTTTTTTTCGGTCAGGCAGTGTTATCTTTAAGTCAGTTCCTAGGGACACTTCAGTGTCTCTAGTATTTATGATTATTCATTATGATTGTAAGAAGCCACATGAAATTATTTACCTGAAATTAAATCATGTGAATCCCGGTGACCTGAGCCCTGTCCAGATTATCAAATTTTATCTGACAAAAAAAGTTGTATGCCATAAATGCTCATGATGTGCATTATATGATGTGAGGTTATTACCATATTTAGACATGCCACCTGTTTTTGTCAAATGAAATTTGATAGTCCGCTCTACAGGGCTTTTACTAGTGAAAGGTACTATAATAGTCAATATTGTGGTTGATATTTCCCAAAGTGTGAGTGAAGTAGCTAGAAGATTCATTGTTTGCATTCCATTGTGTCCCTATGCCATGAATTTAAGATAGTATGTTAATTAAACAGATGGTCTTTATAATTGTACTGTATGTATTTATATTTCATTATATATTTATATACATACATATACTTATATTTATGTATATCATATAATATGTAATAACATTTATATGCAATATATGTGTATATATACAGTACTGTATATATACTACATA